TGCAGCCCGGCCTAACTATGGTAAGAATATTTTTAAGGATTTTATGCACTTAGTTATTTGATTCTGACTTTAGGTACATTCAGTGAAATACCAGTAATGTCCATTTCTGTAGCCTTGCTAAGGTCATTTCTACTAATGGTTTAAAAATATGAAAAGCTAACATGCAAAGGTTCAACATCCTGCCATCTTCACGAAATCATACAGAAACACATTTGATCTTGTATAACTGTATCCTGTGTTTCAGTGGCTGAAGACTTTCCACAGCAACTGAATTTAGTTTTTCAGTGGTTGGATTGCTAGTTTTAGACTGTAAAGCTTTTGCCTTATCTGTCATTTTTGGCTGTTTTAAATTACTTGCATCAATTTTTAAGTTTGATCTAACTGCGTTAAAGGAAATGAAAGTCATTTGACTTGTCTTCAGGGAGCATTTTTCTGCTGTCTTGTGACGTGTAATGTGCAATCCTTTATATACTGCTGGCTTCTGGAACTAAGAAGTTACAAACAAAACCAAAGCTGTGGATTTGTTATGAAAATAATTTTTGATCAATGAATTTCTGCAAAGGTCTTTCAAGGTTTACCACTCTCAGTTAGACTTTGACTACAATTACCTGTCTCCCAATGAAGTATAGTCTATCCTGGTAGTGACTCAGTGGAATATTTGAATGACTATTCTCTGATACTCTTAATTTCTTCTTTGTCTGTAGAGCCAATAATGCTAATTTTTAGGGTTTTGTATTGGTATTCATTAGTACCAATAATATATCTTCCTCCTCCCCTTCTTCCTCATGTGTTACCACTCCTCATACACTCTGTAGCTAGCACACAGAAAATACGTGACAAAGGATAAAACAACTTCAGTGAAATCGTATGCTTTTTGTCCCTGCCTGACTAAGTGTGCTGAAGTTAGTAGTCTCGTAGAAGCATATACAAATTACCCGAGTTCTTGGCAGTGTTTTTGAGTGTGGTATGTTTTCCGGTGGAGCACAGCAGAACTTTCTGGCATTGGTAAGAGTATCAACTCTACGGTCTATTTAGAAATTAAAGCTTTTTTTTTGAATGCTGTGAAAATGCCGCAGTCATAGATGCTTCAAATTTGGTTATTAAACAACATTGGAAGAGGTTTTTTGGAATGATTTGAACTACTGGGTTTTACATAATTAGAACGTTTGTCTAAGAATACCCATGCCAGTGTATAGGAGTATTGTTTTCTATCAGTAGTATTGTCAGTAGGAAAGAAGATTGGGAAATGAAAATCTTTATTACCCTTTTGTAGTATATAATTAACACACAAAATACTAGAGAGGGGGTTTCTAAGTCATCTAGGTTTTATTTTTGTCTTTTAAATAGCATTGCATACTGTTTGTTAGTATCATTTAGTATTTGTTGAACTATTAACAACCTTAAAATGTAAGTGAACTATTAACAACCTTAAAATTATAAGCTATCATCTACCTTGCTTTTGGAGAGCTTTAAAGCTGAAAGGTAGCTTCCTGTGCCTGGTACTCCATCAGCTTTCATAAATATTTGAGAAGATGGTTGTTATGTAATTTGAACTTTTCTACTAAAACCACATTTGTTGATTTTTAAGAGGTATTAGAGAATGAGTATGTTAGGTCAAAAGGGAAAAACAATGAAAAAGTCAGCTTTTTGGTTTTGAGGACGTATTTCAGTTTTGGGGTTTGTTTTTTTTTTCACTACATCACCCACTTTTTTTGCAGAGAAGGCAGACTAAGAAAACAGTTACATAGTATAGGCCTGTTTTATTTTCTGTCATTATGTTATGTATTTCTGTCAAATATTTTGGAGAAGTAGAATCCTACTTGTTTTGGAATCCAGTGATCAATGAGATTCTTTAAAGCATGATTTCATAGCAATTTGTAATTTTATGTGTAGATACATATGAAAGCTGCTATTCTGTGTTTCTTAATGCTGAATGAATTACTTTGACATGCTTTATAATACTTGGATACTTTAAAATGTCTCAGGTGTTGCTTTTTGAATGTTGTTGGTATAATTGAGCCTATAAAAACATTAACTGTTGGTATTACTTCTATATCATCAGTTGTAGATTTTTGAGTAAAGAAAAAGAATGGACTCTTTTCTCTGTTTTTTATATCTGCTTCACCTTATTCTTTTTCGATTATGTATTTCGATGCTTTTTTCACCATTTCCTCTATGTTTAGCCTGTCCTGAGGCTAACACAGCCTTTTTTGTCTGAGGAGGTCTGTTTTCATGGGTTGTGAAACAGAGTAGTATTTCATATGCTGGATTACCGTATTCCTTTTAGGCAGGAATCTGCCTAACTAATCTAAATTAGTCTTTCATGATACGTTATATTTGTTCTTGAAGTTTACAAGAACCAGCCCATAACTGCTGGGTTACTGTATTCCTCTTAGGCAAGAATCTGCCTTCACATTGGACTAAGGCTTTCATGGTGTATGTACGTGTTCTTGAAGTTCACAGAAGCCAAGCAATTGTACATGAAACAGAAGATGATGTTGTTGTTGTTAATGTATGATTTCAGTGTCTTGTGAGATTGTTCTGCTTTTTTCCCAATGGACTATATTTCTGTATTTTGCTGTGTTGTGCAATATTCTGATAAGTTGTGTGTTGATTTTTTGTTTTAATTCTTTATTTGTTTTTAGGTAGTTGGTCCACCTGGTACTGGAAAAACTGATGTAGCAGTCCAGATAATATCCAATCTTTATCATAATTTCCCAGAACAACGAACTCTTATAGTTACCCACTCTAATCAGGTAAAGTGTCAGTCATGTATGAAATTTTCCTGTAAATAAAACCAAGAAGAACAGTAGGTACTGAGATCGTTAGATTTGGGATTGCAGTTGTCTCTTCACAATAAAAGTATGAGGTGGCTTGTGTGCAGTTTTGCCTGTTTCATAACGAGAAATTAAAGTTCTGAATTTCAGGTTTGTAGTTGTGAGCTATTTATCAGAGATTTCTGATACATTTAACTGGTTGAGGGTTGAAATTAGGAAGTATTTTGAAAAAGTGTCTGCACAGTTCTTACATTCACTACATGCATGCCAGATTTTTGCGAACTAGCTTTCTTGGACACTGGTTGATCTGTGCTTCATGCTTCTAAGGGAAGGCATGAAAGGTACCATGGCTGGTGTTCTTCGGCTGAATGCTGGCTTCCCATTCGTAAGAGATGGAGCCTAGCTGCTAATTCTCAAGCATATATAGTATAACAATACTAACAATGATGATGATGATAAAGATCTTGAAGGTTTTTACTCTAAATTTGCGTTTGATTTGGAAGGATTTGCTTGGAAACCAGGGTCATCAGTTACCTGGTCTCCCTAATTAGCCTCTCCTATCTCAGATATGAATTATTTTAACTGAACAAACGACTTTGAAAACATTTCTTCTTTGTCCATCAAAGCAAGATCAGGCACTTACGTTGTTGATCAAAGAATGGTGGATAAGACTTCATTTTAGTAAGGAGTTGCAACCTGGAATAGTATAGGACAGTCTTTGAGTTACAGGAGAGTTAACAGGTAGTGATGTGGAAAGGGAACGTTCTCTTCTCAAAGAGAACATGTCTGTTGGGGAGAAAAAGAAGAAAGCAATTTGAGGCAGATAGAAGACGCTTCTTAGCTGACAAGACTTATATGAGAGCATGAACTTGAAATTGTACTTCAGGAAACGAATTCAGCAAGGTTCATTCCCTGTGCCTTGACACTGTACTTTAACATGTTTGCATGACTTCCAGCTGACTTGCAGTACAAGTGGAGCTTGCTCATCGTTAATGTTAGTGTTATAACTTGATGATCCAGTGCTTACGAACTTACTTCTTTGAAAAACACTGAATTGAGCAGTTGATATTAAGCTGTTGGAAAATTGAAGAGTTTAAGGCAGGAGACACAGCACATCTTGAGGTTTATTCAGCAAAATTTATTCATCCATGTAGAATAGAGTCACAGCACCTGCCAGTCAATAAGAGATCACACTCTTGTAAAGTAAAAGTTAAAAGGTTTAAAATCTAACAAAATCGATGTTTGCTAAGTGTGCTTCTTGAGACAGTTTTATAAACTGATAGCTTTATCAACTAAATTAACTGATTGAATCAAATTTTAAAATTGTTTTAAAATTGTAAAATAAAATTTTAATTGTTGTGTAAAGTATGCAAATACAAGAGTTTTAGTAGACTAATTTCCCTGTTGTCAAGATTAAGAGCTCTGTTTCAGTATTAGCTTCACATTTGCTTTGGCTTCCATTTATATCAAAATAGCATAATTTTCTAGCTGGCTTACCAGTAATTCTTTAGTTTTCCTCTGCAAGAGCCTCTGAACTTCTAAAATCTGCCTTTTCTCCTGTGCTTGTCAATCTTTAGGCCTTGAACCAGCTGTTTGAAAAAATCATGGCTCTAGACATTGATGAGCGTCACCTCCTGCGTCTGGGTCACGGAGAAGAGGAATTAGAGACAGAGAAAGATTTCAGCAGGTGAGAAAGGAGATGCTAATCATAAACTTGCTTGCATAAACATCATAGCAAGTTCTATGTGTTGAATCCCATCTGTCTGTCTTGTAAATGAGCAAGGGGCTGTGTTTGACAAGTTTTACCTTTCTCATATTATTGAATCCCAGTAACGCAGAGTGAGCTTGTTTTCAATACAGGGTTAAATAATTTTGGTTCATATTCAGTAGGGAAACTGTGTTCTCTCGAGAGTCCAAAAGCAGACTCAGACAGTTGCTTGTTCACAAACTCAACTACTTGAATAAAAGTAGTTTGTTATATTCTGGGCCTGTGTACGTTTTAGAGAATTGATCTGTTTTGTGAGAGGAAGTTGAATAATAAAGGAAGTTTTTTGCAGTTAGGAATTTTTTGTGCAAATATGATGTTCCTTCTGCTGGCATGGTGAATATTGCATACATAAACATAAACATGAAATTAAACTTTCTGCTTTTAATTCTTCAGAACATGCTTGATTACAAAGGTGCTTATTTCATTGGTAAATGACGCATTTTGAGTAATGCATACGTAAGGAAAACTATCAAGTCTATATCAGTACAAAGACTTAAGAACTTGTTCTTGTAAATAGTTACACGTTTGTTACACATTAGTCTGATTGACGTCAGTAGGATTACACACATTCATAAATGTAAGCAGGGGCATAAGGGTCGTGCACTGGAAATAACTGAACTGTCCAGTGCTGGATTGTTATAGCAATACTTTGACTTCAAAAGCTGCAGTAAAAATTATATATAGTCAATAGAAATTACCCACATATGCATAGCTGAGTTTCATTTAGCAAAATAAATACCTTGTGTGTTTTTTTTAAATTTGAATGCTTTGACTTAGTCAAATTATTCCAGAAATTTGACAGCCAAAACCTCAGAGAAAGATGCCATGGCAGATATTTATTTAGCATATCCACAGTTTAGTGTATTCCTTGAACATAATTAAAAGGAGTTTTCTTTGAGACACTCTACGTTGTCTATTTTCATTCTTTTTCAGGGTAACTCCAGATCTAAAGGGCATTACTGCAAAGTCCTATGGGTTCTGGCAGTTTGGGAGGGAGGGTTAAGGGTTGAGGAATATATTTGAAGGTGAGCTGCACCACTATGAGAAGAGAAGTTTATTTCCCATATGCTTTATGTTTGTTTTTAGCTTGCTTCTGAGTTTGTGGTTTTTCTGTGTCAAACTGCTTCTGAGGGCACAGTACTGCTTAAGGAATTTCTGCTGCCTGCAATCTTAGTGTCCCTTTTGTGCTCCCTCTGCAGGCACAGCAAAGCGGGGCAGGGGGTATGAGAAAATAAGGTGGAGAGGAACTGATTAAGCTGATACTGTCACTTAAATACAAAGCGAATGACAGCTAAAGAAACTTTTTCTATTGCTAAATGAATACATAAAAGAGGGCATGTGACTTGAATTGTGAGAAATCAGAGGACATTGGAAGTGTGAGAAAAAAACCCCAAAGAACTAGTTTCAGTCACTTGTAATTATAATGGATTTGTTTTGTTGAAGAAGAAAGCACTATTTAATATTCCAGGGATCTTAACTGCCATAGTTCCTGAGGAACTTGTTTTTTCCAGTTGTGAGCAATATCTTATTCAGCTGTGTCTTAGTAAATTCAAATCTCCAGCTTTAACCCCTTCTAAATAAGACAATAGAACCCGTTGTGATTACCAGGGATTCAGATTTTTTTCTTCTATGCAGAAAGCATATTTTATGAATAGTAAGTTTAATAAGAACTTGCGATTTACCTTCATTCATATTTGAGCTTTTAACTGTGTATGCATTTTTGAAAGAAAGTATCATGTTCCTCTCACTTCTTTTATTCCACCCATTTATCCACTTTTTAATTTGTTTTCTTTTTTAGAAAATGTGATACATTGATTTTTATTTTTTTTCTTGTACTGCTTCTGGGAGGGGGGCAGTGCATGGATTAAGAAAGTCATAAAGGAAAAAAATTGGCCTTGAATTGGGTAATAGGAAGAAGAATGGAAGGAGCAGGTTACAAGCTAATCAGTCATAAGAGTTACTGAACAGGCAGCTGTGAGTGCAGGACCTTCTGTGTGTGGGTGTAGACCTGTCTGTTGTGGTGGGCTAAGCATTATTGCAAGACATTTTGTATATTACTGAATGAAGTCAACTTCATCGTATTCAAACTTCGGGTATAGGTTCTATTTGTGATGGTCCATAGACGTGTATAACTTGCTTGTATTTGTGTCACATATAGTGTACTATAGTTTCCAAACAGTACATTGGAAGTAGTGCTTTTCTGCTTTACAGGTACATCATGAGAATGTTTTACTAACATTTTGTGAAACTTTTGTTAAAGTGGTAGGAATAAAGGAGCTTTTTCTACAGTAATGGCTATAGCGTGGCTTTGTAAATTATTAGGGTTCAACTGATAGAAATGGTCAACATGTAACAAATTCTTGGTTTTTGGAACCTGGTACGTTTTTTTCAGGGAGGGGAGAGTGTTTGGGTTTTTGTGATCTCTCCATGTGATGCTTAGATAAAATAATTTGGAATTAGATACATTTAAATACAAATGTTATTATATTTAATCCAACTTGTAGGTATGGAAGAGTTAATTATGTGCTGGCTCGGAGACTTGAACTTCTGCGAGAAGTTGGGCGATTGCAAGAAAGTCTTGGAGTCCCAGGAGATGTTTCTTACACTTGTGAAACAGCTGGCCACTTTTTCTTATACCAAGTAAGGACTGAAATACTTCTACAGAGGCTGTTATGACCTCAATATGTTATGAAACACTTTGTGAAAAATGAATTGAATTTTTCAGAATTGAGTCTTAAAAAAACGCATTTTCTTTGGTGGTTCAAAATACAGTAACAGCTAAAGCTATAATTGCAACATTGCTTATTTGTGTTGCTATTGTTTTAAATTCCACCTGATGACTTGCCAATTGGAAGGCTAGCGTTTCTGCTCTTCATGACTGCTGGCAGAGATTCTAGCCTGAAGTTTCTTCTTCAGAAAGGAAAATCTGTGAGCTGCTTTACATTTTGGACACGCATTAGAGCAGCTACTTGATGATCCTGCTAGAAAGCTTTTATGATGTTAAATCAGTGTGAAATTGGATTCATAGCGTACAAAACGGTGTTTTTCTGTGCAATAGTATATCCCTTATTTCCCTTCCATGTGTTTTTTGGTGACATGGTGTACATTAGCCATTAATGTGGTTTAAGCAGACTTGTAGAGTGCTACAAATGCATACACTGTATATGTTTTTATAGCAGTTACTCTGGGCTATCTGTAGTGTGGGCATAAACATTAAATGTCTATTAGGTGTTCAAGAGTACTAGGAGCAGTGCCTAGAGCTCATATTCTGGTTCGGTTTCCTCCTGAAGGAATCCAACTTGGTATTTAAGCCAAAGTGCTGTAAGTGGAGCTAGTCAAGAGATTTGCTTCTGTATTGGGTTTATTTGGTAAAGTTTTGGTAGCAGGGGACTGCAGGGGTGACCTCTGTGAGAAGATGCCAGGGACTGCCTTGTTCTGGACACGGCCAGCTCCAGTGGACCCACTGGTGTCCAAAGCTGAGCCCATCAGTGACACTGGTGGCATCACTGTGAAAACATCTTTGAGGAAAGCTCAAAAAACACTGCACAGCACCTGGGGGCAGAGCATGAGAAACAATGCCACACACCAAGGTCAGAAGGAAAAAGAGAGGCCGGAGGTGCTCCAGACACCAGAGCAGAGATACCCCCATAGCTCATGGAGAGGACCATGGTGAAGCAAGTTGTCCCCCTGCAGCCCATGGAGGACTGTGTCAGAGCAGATATCCACACTGCAGCCCGTGGAGTACCCCATGCTGGAGCAGGTGGATATGCCCTGAAGGAAGCTGCAGCCTGTGGAAAGTCTATGCTGGAGCAGGGGACAAGCGTGAGGAGGAAGGGGTGGCAGAGATGTGTTATGAACTTGAATGACAAGCCCCATTCCTTCTGCACTGTCCAGGGTGGAGAGGAGGTAAAAGAGTTGAGAATGGAGGATTTAAATTGAGTCTGAGAAGAAGAAGAGGATGGAGAAGAACAGTGGATTTGTTTTTGTCTTTGTTTCTCACCATCCTAGTCTATTTTTAATTGGCAAGAAATTAAATTAGTTTTCCCCAAGTCGAGTCTGTTCTCACTGTGGTGGTACTTGCAAAGTGATCTCTCTGTCTTATCTCAACCTGTAAGCTTTTCCATCTTATTTTCTCCCCTTGTCCTGTTGAGGAGGGGGAGTGAGAGATGCCGGGTGGGAGTCTGGCAGCCAGCCAAGGTCAACTCACCACAGCTTCAAAAATGTTGTTCTCACACAAGATCAAATGCTAATTTAGACATACCTTGCTTTCGTGATGATTTTTTTTTTATATATACTATTTGTGCAAGACTATACCTTGCCAATGACTTTATGATATAAACACATGTCCGTATGACACTTTTGTTTGCCATAGGTAATGTCTCGTTGGGAGGAGTATATCAGCAAAGTGAAAGTTAAAGGTGGGAAACTGCCAAATGTTACGGATGTCTCCAGTTTATTTCCTTTTCACCAGTATTTTGCAAATGCTCCTCAACCAATTTTCAAAGGCAAGTCCTATGAAGAAGATATGGAAATTGCTGAAGGGTGTTTTAGACATATTAAGAAAATATTCACTCAGCTTGAGGTAAGACATGTAACTATTAAAGATAAGTGAATCTGACTAATTCTATAAAAAACTTTACACAGTTCCAAAATTCTCCTTTGCCCGGCATCCTAAAAGGAGTGTATACCTCTAGGCAGCTTCATTAGCTTGCAAGGCATTCAGGTGAGAATTTCTACCTTTGAGTAATGTTTCACAATAGGGATAAGGGTGTAATCTGTTTTATTTTGATCTTAGGAAGCAGCCGTTCTGCGTGTTTCCAGACCTGCGTGATGAGGTTACTAGGTTTGGTGCACCTATCACTGCTGCTCCTCTGATCCTCACAGAGTCTTTGTGTGTGCAGTGAATTGGCTTTAATCAGATAACCTAGAAGTAACTTAAACGTATTATCTTCTATTTTTCCCGGAATTGCTCGAGAGGCTTTTTAAAGTTAGGGTGATCTGTGTGTCATTTGGTCATATTGACTGTATTTGTCTTTCTAATACTGAATTTGGTGTGAAGTTATGATGTGGTAAAGCAGGAAACAAGAAGATGTAGTAAAACAAAATTTTTTAGTTTTCTGAGAGAGTCTCTCAACCAATTGAACAATGTCTGCAAATTTATATATTCACATATATAAGCAGCATTCTTGAATGTGTTTTTAAAATACTGTTTTTTTGAAATACGTTGTTTCCAGATTTAGTGTAAAAAAAAAAAAAATTACTCAAGATTGTTAACAATAGATGCCGTCATAACTTTATTGTCTAACTATATTAAGAAGATGCCCTGATAGTTTGACTGAAATCGTTTTATAAGCAATAATTTTTCATATTCTGACTTTCAAGACTTTTTTTCTCTACCACAGGAATTCAGAGCATTTGAACTTCTCCGCAGTGGCCTGGATAGATCCAAATACCTGTTGGTGAAAGAAGCAAAAATCATTGCCATGACTTGTACTCATGCTGCTCTGAAACGACATGACCTGGTTGAATTAGGTTTCAAGGTAATGATTATACTATGTTACTACACTAATTGTTTTTTGGGTTTGGTTCCCCCAGTCTGCCCCTTGTATAAACCTTTTTATCTGTCCTCAATCTAGGCAACTGGGTTATTTTGAGTTGCATTTTTTACCAGTGTGTTTCAAATCGTAATTTTACTGAAGAAAAATTTAACTTCTGTCATTAAAGGATGAGATCACTTTTAAGTTACTGTACGTACAGAAATGCTTAATAGTGCATCTCTATTAAAAAAATTTAGTTTTGCCATATTAGATGATGAACAGCAGTGATATGATTAATAAAATAAAGGCAGAACTGGGCAAAAAACATGGCCTTTATAACTTTATTTCCCTGAAACATGAAAAATTTGATGCAAACGAACTTTGATGCAATGCTGTTTTCACTCTGCAGTGTTAACTCTAGGTATTCATTTAGTACAAACTTTTCTCAGACAAAAACAAAACAAAAATCCACCACCAATAATTCTTTCAGTGTTATTTTTCTCTGATTAATGGACTGTACTGGATCGCAAAAGTGCTTCTTTTCTGCTTCAGTGCAAAAGTACCAAATTAGTTTGCTCTACTGCAGAAAGCTGTTCTCTTGTGAATGGGTTATGGCATATGAGTAGCATGTCATGTAGTTTAGTCATGGATTCCTTCTAAATATAAGCTCTGATTGGTACGGATAGATCTGCCATTGATGTGGTAGGATTTCACCTTCTGACATGGATTTTTAGTAATGCCGATATTTTGCCTAAAAGGTAAAATCCTACTGTAACTGGCTTACCCATCAAAAACTAAGTGAGTAATTAATGCGTTCTTGTGGTAGGCTAAATAACAGCATTAATTTGTACTACTTGGTTGATAGACATCTCTACTTTTTCTTCCTCAGTATGACAACATCTTAATGGAAGAGTCTGCTCAGATTCTGGAGATAGAAACCTTTATACCTCTCCTGTTGCAGGTTAGACATGAATTATAAAACATACTACAAAAAATGATAAATGATTGAGTCTGTGTTCTTGAACAATATAGGATATTAAAAGGAAAATATCTTAGGCAGAAAGTAACCTGGATCTGGTATTTGCCATTTGAATGAACAGTTACAACTTTCACATTGTTCTACATTAGTTGTTTATCCTTGTTTTTTATTGTTATGGAGTAAGCTAATAGGTTCTAAATATGTTGCTTTTATTGACTAAATAGTAGTATTAGCAGGCTTTCATTTTGAAAGTAAAAAGCAAAGATGTTTATGTAAACTAGGTTCTGGCTTTGTTACTTTTATTCTTTGTCATTTAATAGTGATTATCGCTAACTTTAAAAATTGTAAAAATTAATGCTTCATATTAAATAATGATTTTATTTCCCAAGAACTTATTTTTTATGTAATTGCTCTGTGTCATCCTGTCTGCTTGTGGTGTTTGGTCAGTTTCAGACAAGATTGAGAGAGACATACCAAGCACCGACAACGTTCAGGAAAACTGGAGCCAAGTAGAGAAAAGACATTCTAATTAATGTTACAACTCTGCAGAAATGAAAGAAAAGGTTACTAGTTCTACTTTTTCTTTTGCCCGATAATTATGCACCTTTTATCTAGCTAACTGGTAAATGTTTAGCATGGAATAAACTGCAGCTGGTACTGTGTTTGCCAAACCAACAATTGATAGATAAAGGAGTGCAGATGTGTTACACTTGAATGGAAGTCTTGCAGCTGAAAAGCTGCTGCTAACACAGGGAAGGAAAGAAGGAAACTGAAACTAATGTGGCACAGGGGATATTTGTAACTTTAGCAAGCCAGGAAGCAATGGCTCTGTAAAAATAAGAGATTGTTGTAATA